TCTGGCAAGATTGGTAAGTCTGGAAGTAATTCGTACAATATTTCCTTGATAAGATCTAGTAATTCAATGTAGTTGATATAATTATCGTCGTCTTTCAGTAGATAGTTGCATTCATATTCTAAAATCTGTGCTATTTCGAAGAATCTGAATTTGTTAAGGTCAGTAAACCTTAGGCAAGCTATAAAAAGTGATGAGTTTAATATCAACCTAATTTTTCTCTTGATTCTTCTGCTGATGTAATTGACGTCATTAATTTTCTTGTAATTCTCATAAGCTTTTATTTCTAATGCCTCATATTCGATTTGATGGTTTTCTTTCATTAATTCGTTTTTGATAAATGATCTGAAAAAAGTTCAGTCTCTTAAGAGGATTTTGGTAAAGATTGCAAAGTGAGGCTCTTGTGTAATTGATCCCTTTGGGATAGTCCTGATATTCTTGAATAGCTCTGCTACTTTTTTTGCATCTGTGCGGCAGGCTGACAGTTATGATTATACATGTGGCATAAATTATTTTGCTGTTGACTCAATTCCTAAAATCCTCAAAAATAATTGCGTCATGACTCAATTATTTATATGTTTTAATAGTGACTCAATTAATTGCATCAAATAATTGTGTCAATTGCGTCAAGGATCTACGAATTTCAGCAACATGTATAGTTATGATGCTAAGTCAATTATTGTATCGTGTTCACTAACAAATGGCTCGCCTGGTTTGGCTGTTTGGATCTTGTAAAGACCATCTACTGGTTGATGAAAGTTTGGATCACTTTCCAGGAGGATTTCAGTTATTCTATTTTCTTTGGCGCTTGGGATAATGTTTGTTATATACTTGTTGATGAGTTTTCAGTTGGAGAGAGGCTGGAGGAACTTGCAAGGTCTCCAATTAAAGGTTTCTCATGTGGCCACTCTGCCTTATTAAGGAGGTTATCTCTACTTGTTTGGTCAGGAATCTGAATTTGCTGGGCTACTTCACTAAGGGGTATGTTTTCTTGAATGTTGGCTAGCTCTTTCTGTACCTGACGGTCAAATTCTGCTAGGGAGCTTGAATTTCCTATAGAGTTTAATTGATTCAATGATATCATTGATATGTCGTTGTCAGAATAGGGGCTGGTAGGTCTAATTGTACTTCCTGATTTGTCATGATTGTCGCTGGTTGTGACTGCATGGTGATGATCATCCACTTGCATCATGTCACTTGAGCTGTGAGGATCGTTGTTATTTGGTGATATGGCACCTGTTACGCTTAATATGCATGAGCTTTCAAGTGTTACAGGAGGTGCATTTGCATTGCTGCTAACTATAGCTATATTTGAAGTGCTCGTGTTAAGCTGATCATTTGATGGGGATAAGCTGTTTGAGGTTTTTTTGGGGATTTGGGATGTGGTTTTTTTCATTTCCAAGATTGTTTGAGAAGTCTGTTTTTTGTTTTCAAGTTCTTCGTCCTGGACCGGTGTGTTAGGTGAAGTGTGGGTTGGTGCATTTTGAATTTTGTCAAGACTGAATTTACTTCCATTGTTAGTTATATTGACTTGATTCCAGGACAAGTGAAAGGTGTAGTTTAAGTTGCTTTCTAACACCTTCTTGGCGATGGTCTCCCTTGTGCTTTGGGCAAGATTATTTCTCTTCTGATATTGAAAAAAGTCATTGAGGTTGTTCTAGGTGTTACTTTTCATGTTGTTGATAGTTAATGTTGCCATTGTATGTATGTGTGGAGGGTTGAGGCCGGCTGTCATTTGTTTGAAGGCAATAAAGACAATGTCCACTGGTTAAGGGTCGCTGGTAGTATTTGGGTTGCTATTAACAGTTGGGTTTTGTAAGGGAATGATCCAGAATTTGGGGAAGTCGGCTAGGGTTGGAATGGATACATTTTTTGCTGGTTCAGTGATTTGAATGGTGTTTGAGTTGCTTTCCTTGTATACTACAGAAAAGAGACATTTATTTGGATTTGCTACCACAATATCCAAAAGGATATGAGGAGAGTTTGGAGATTTGCCCTTGGGAGAGGAGCTCCCAGGAGTGCCTGTTGTTTTGCTTCTCTTTAGAATTTTGTCAGTTATTAAAAAAAGAAATTTTTAAGCAATACAAAATTTTTGGAAAAGAGTTTTTTTTTTATTATATTTATTAATATTAAAAGTATTTGCTAACTTATAATTATATTCAAAAATATTTGAAACCTTTTAAAAATAAGTATTGTTAACCTATTTAACAAACCTTAAAATTAAATTAATCAATGGACAACAGTAGCAAGAAACTACTTAATTTGAAGAAAAATAGTCTCAGTTGTGGTATACTAGTATAGATAAGATAAAGAAATTGGACAAGGTTTATTTTTAAGACAAGAGACACAGTAATTTGGTTATGGATTCAAGATAGGTTTTATTAGATAGAGTTGGGAAGAGTTAAAAAATTTCTTGAACAGTTGAGAAGAACAACCGTTTTATTTATATGTGTTTGAAACATATGAAACTAAAAAATAAATAAGTGACAAGATATATCAGTTCAGTTAAATATGCCTGATATGCTTAATTATATCACTTAGATTGCTTAGACTGCTCAGATCGATCAGGTCAATCAGGTCAATTAGGCTGATCTGGTATTTTAGTTATATTTGGCAAAAATGCTATATCTACTTGATATGCTATATATGCTAGATAATTAATAATAAAAATAATAAAGTAATACAATACTATAAAATAATAATCTAAAAATAGTATTATCAATACTTATAACAGTATAGATAATAAAATAATTATATTTTAAAGAATATTTTTTAAATGGCTTTAATAATATTTAATATACGTATTTAGAATTAAAATTATGAAATAATAATTTTTTATTTAATTTTTTTTTTTAAACTGCTAAGGTGAGACAATGCTCTAGTTTTATTAACATAGATAGTTTCTTACATATATGCTATATCTATACTATATTAATTATATATTAACTAGGCCTACCCACAAGCCTAAACTATCTGGATATAGTTTGCCACCCTGCTTGCTTACACAAGCATTACCTATCTCATTTCTTTCTTTTTTATCTTGACACTAATTTTATTTCTATCTGTAATTATCATCTTCTTATTCATTACCCAAGAACGGCTTAGGTCTTTCTGCTTTTCTGGCTGCCTTTCCGGAGTAAGTAACTAGCAAATTGACGAATTACTGGATTGTGAGAACTTTTCATGAAAAAGATGCCTTGATACCCATAGGAAAACGATTATCAATTCTTTTCATTCTTACTGAAACCGGTATTTATGCATTTCTTGCCACTTCTGGCGATCGTCATATTACCAACCGGATGATCGTCACACCACTACGCCTTTTTCTTGATAGTCACAATCTCATTGCTTGCATGATCGCATGTGAATCGGCTTTGTATGAGAAATGACACTTGACAGGTTATGGTGTCGGATACTATATTTTATTTTATTCAACTGCCTTCACCTGGAGTTGAACCGGTATCTTGTGATCTGACCTGTGAAGCACTAACCACTGTGCTATAGACCCACAATTTTTTATTTAATGTATTATAAAAAAATAATTATTATTATACAAATGTTTAAAATTATATGAATTGTTTATTGTATTTATTATTTATTGTTTTATAATATTAAAATATATTTTTATAATAATATATAACCTTCACAAATCTCTATAAATCTTTATAATGTTTCATAATACTTTGCAAACTTTTTTCAAAAAAATAAAAATTTTCAAAATTTATATTTAAAAACTCCGCTTCAGAGATCTCTAATAAAAATAGAGATTTCTAAAGATTTTTGCAACAAAGATTTCTAAAGATCTTTGCTAATTTAATTTTACTAATAATATTGTTATATTTGATTTTTGTCAAAGATCTTCACTACCTCTTGTCTGATTTTTACTAACATTTATCCTTGAAATGTTAGCTGTTTTAGAATAGTCTTGTATTACAGATCTGTTACTGTATATTCGGCATCTGTTGAATATATTGCATCTTTAGCAGCAGGGGGCGCGGGCAGATTTTTTTTCGGCGGTCTTCTATTTTATACCTTAGTTCTACGGGTTTCTGATCTTTTTATCACTTTTTTGTAGATATATCTGTTTACTAATTTAGGTTTGGATTGAAAGCTTTCCTGCTCTATGGTTTTTTCGTGACTTTTACAACTTTAGGTTTCTTAAATCGATATAAAAAAAAATGATACTCGGATTTCGGTGTAATTTTACGCATATATAGGATGTCTTTAATTTTTTATTAATCGTCAAATTCAATAGTTTGGGATCCCAATTGTTTTAAGGTTTTTTAACATGAATTTGATTATTATTGCTAACTGTATGAGGGTGCTTTGCACCCGAAATGCGAAGCGAAGCGGAGCATCTAGTTAGCATATTGTTTTCTTGTCTAGAGAGGAAAAGGATGTATAGCAATTTTTTTTTTGTTTCGTCATCTTTGGTGTAATTTTATTAGACAAAAAATATATTATATAGCTATCTGACTTTTAACTGATCTTTAAATATCTATCGGTTTCTTGTCTAATTTGAGGCATGGGAGTTTAGTTTCGATAACAATTACTTCTGCCAAAAAAGCGGCATTCTTGCTATGCTGACGGGCATAAAACATTTTTTCTCTCTAGTTTAGAAAAAGAAAAGTAGTTAACCTAATTAAGATCTGACTTAAGCAGTTACTGCGAGAAGGCGGGTTAATAAAAATGAAAACTTCACATATCTGAACACGAACTGGTATGTGGGTCGGAATAAATAATTTTTATTTAAACGAAAGATCTGGACAATTAATACTAATAAAATTCACCGGTTTTTAATCAAAATGATACCTCCATGCCCTTATTGTGGATATAATAAATTCAAAAAGAATCGAGATCGAGATAAACACTTGAAACGAGATCGAGAAAGACCATGCTTACCTCGTAATTTACCTACATCAGTTCCTAATATACAGATTATATCAATTACTAATCCTGAACCTGAAATCGAGAATGCAAATCTTCAGCATAAGCCATCTCCAATGGTACAGCCAAAAATTGATCCCGAATCTGTCCCAACTTCTTTACCAATCTTGTCGCCTCGTGTCAACAAACAGAAAGTAGATAATACTCCACAGCGTACCAGGTTAACAATCAATAAGCGCCCAGATGAAAGTGTTAAAGAATGGGCTACTCGTCTTGCCGATAGATCAGACAAAGTTAATCATACGAAGCAAAATCGAAATTGGTTGCGCAGAAGAGGAGAAAATCTCAAAAGTTGTATAGAAAATACATTCTTATCCATTTTACGATCAGATCCAGAAGTATGGCAAGAAAGAGAACGAATTGGTGGCTATAATATAGAAAGGAGAGATGAAAATGGAGGCATCGTTACATATATTACTCCAGATTTGGATGAGTTAAATGAAATTAAAGATAGCATAAGAAAAATAGCACCCCATTTATTAACAAAATCTTCATCATCACAACCTCTTAATCAAATCCCACAGATTGATCCGGAAGCTGGTCCAGGTCCTCAAACCCAAGTTCATCGTGAAGGTAGACTTACTGAATTAGAAAAAATAGTAACTCAACGAACCACGCCATTAGATAATACAGAATTGCAACCTGTTCAAGAATTGCCTATTTACAAAGGCAAATTTCTAGATTTAGATGTAGAAATATCATGGCCAATTCCATTTCCAAATAATGAGGAACACCGTGCAATATGGCAAAATGGAATTCAGACTGCGAAGGACATGTTTAAGGTAGATGGAGCTGAATATGCTTTCTCAACCTGGTTTACAGAAGTTAAAGAGATCGATTTGGTTAGTGCAATATTAGAAGCGGAAGATGAAGATAAAGCTATGCAGGAAGTATTTTTACAATGCCTATATCGAAATTATTCAGAAAAAGAAATTAATGAAATCATAAAATTTGCAGTAGATGCTTATAGAGCATCAGATAAAGGAGATAAAAACTGGTTGAAAAGAGTGAAATATCAAATAGAGCCAAGAAAATTCGAAGCAGGGATGACTGAAGAGCGAGCCCAAGAAATTTTAAATGTGATCGATAATAGTGAATTCTTAATAAGGGTAAAGTTTATTCGAAATGATTATATATATGGAAATGAACTTCAAACAAAGATGGTCTTTAAAATTATTGATAAATATGAGCCTATTCGTGAATCAAAAAAGGCAGGTGGAAAATATGTCGGGGGTGGTCCAAACGTTATACTTACAAAGAAAACGAAACCAGGATTTTGGGTAGGAATAGATGAAAAATTTCTGGTTAGAGAAGTTAGTGAGCAATCTGAGGTAGGAGAACTTGATAGTAATGCAGTAGTTTATGGATTATATCGAATTCGAAAACCAGATATTAATCGATTAATGCCCATGAAAGATGGAGCACTTAATTGTGTGGCTCAACGAGTAGTAGAGCATTTTGATCAAGCCAAAAGAGGACATGGACTTACAAAAATTCGTCGGCAAAAAATAAATGATTGGGAGAAAAAAATGCGCGTTCCAGGTGCTCGAGTACAAGATGTAGCAGAGTTAGAAAAAATTCTCAAGCGACCAATTACATTACTGGATATTACTCATGGCACTATATTTAATAGCAAAAAATATCGATCAGGTAAGTACGAAGAAATAGAAATGGTAGTTCATAATGGCCATGCATTTCCAAGAAATCAACATTTTCCAAGAGATCGAATGGTTGAATATTATAAGGGCGATACCTGGGAAGCTATTAACAGTGCCCTTCAAGGTCCTCAAGCAATCTGGCTTATGGGAGTAGGAGATGAAAACCAAAGAGTATCTCAATTTGTTTTAGAAGATGGTCGCACATTCAGAACATGGAAAAAGCATACAGAAATTATAGAATCATGTAAACAATTAGTCGATGATGCGATAAATTGGCAATTTCAAGAGAACATAATCAGTGACGAAAAGAAATCGATTCTTTTAGAGTCTCTCAAAGTAGTTGACTTGGCAGAACAAGTATTTGGTGCAAATCATGCTGGAAGTCGACTCGCCAACGAAATCAATGAATGGCATCCAATATCTGAAAAAATAAATGAGGATATAAAACAAGCTTGTGTTGAGCATGGCCACGGCGGACGCTGGAATGCTCCTGATTACCATATCAGTGACGTTGTATGTATTGACATGAAAGAATGTTATCCGGCAAGTATGCGAGGTCAAGGAGAATGTACACCATGGTTCAATAGATTTGGACATCCAACGCATTATCTTGTTAAAGTAGCGGTAAATGGTGAACTTCCACAGGAAGATATTACTGGGTTTGCACAGGTAAGGTCTTTTAAATTTGCGTCAAATATACATCCAGTAATTCCCGTCTGGTATGGAAAACATTTTGCATGTCGGAGTGGAGAAGGATGTGCAAAAAATAAAGGATGGGCTCCTATTGTACTTCTACGATATCTTCTCGAAGTTGGTATTCTAGAAAATTTAACTATTGGAGAAGCAATTATCTCCCTTACACAGCAAACCAAAGTATGGCTACCAGAAAATCGAGATATTAGTTGTGCAATTATAGGTAAGTTTACACAGGGTGGCAAAATTGATGAAAAGCGTCTTACTCATCGACTTGTAATGGATGAAGGTGAGCTTGATTTCTTGATCAAAGATTGTACTGATGCTGGAACTTTTGCAGGTAGGGAGAAATGTCCACTCGGATTTATACTTACATATTATGAGGGCCATCAACCTCAGTACACGCATTTGCGAGCCTCAATGTTAGCTTATGCTCATATAAACTTGTTGGAAATGCTACGGAGATTTCAACCAAATGAAGTAGTGAGGATTGCTACAGATTCTATATATGTACGAAAAGAGGCTTTATATAAGATCGAAAATATACCGGCATTTTTCAAGCAAGTTGAAGTAAAGTCAGATCCAATTTTATGTTCACACTATCCTTCTTGTGCAATGTGTAGCGATCCAGAGGAATTTCTTATTCCAAAATCGGAATATGCAAAATGGATTAAAGAGTTCCAAAAAAACAAAACGCCTCTAGTAAAATATAATTGTAAAAAGCATAACCCATTTGTTTGCAGATTTTGCTTTGGGGAATGGTTTTATAAATCGGATTCTTGTCAGAAGCAGTTAAATCGGCCAGAAGAGCAAGAAGTTCGAGAAATTCAACCTGGTCAATGGCGCGATAAGGGTGAAAAAATATATGGACCAGTTGCTGATATTGTATACTGGCCAAAGAATAGGCATTGGGAATCAATCAAAAATATTTCTGATAGTACAGCACCCTCAATTCACGACCCAATTACAAGATGCCGAAAAACATATCTCAATGGAGGGGGAGGGTCTGGCAAAACAACACGTGCAATTCGGATCTTTAAAAATATAAATATGGTTGTCTTTACGCATACAAATGCATTAGCCAAAGATTTTCGAGAAAATCGTAATGTAAAAGCTCAAACATGGCATAGCTTCTTTCGATGGAATGGTGTAGGGAATTGGACACCCGAACGTATGGGAGAAAAGAAATTTCCACGAGTCATTATCTGGGATGAGATATGTACAGTACCTAAACATATTCTCGAAATGTTTATTAACTATTTGCTGGAACATAAATGTCAGGTAATCTGTTGTGGAGATGATGCCCAGCCTCCACCATTCTTTGGAGAAATGCCTCATGACTGGTTGAAAAAAAATGCTAATTATTATGAGGAAGTTATAACTGATTATCGAGCTAAATGTCCTAAGTTACATGAACTCAAAAAGGGAATGCGTCGTAAAACTAATCGAGTGCAATCTGAATTATTTCGTGGAGCAATTCCAGTTATAGAAAAATGGAATTATTTTGAAGCTGAATGGACACCATCAGATCGAATTCTATCAGCACATCGACTTTCTCGAAGACTCGCATCGCAAATATGTCTCAAACTTCATTATATAAAATACCCTAATATACCAATTCCTTTAATCTATAGGCCAAGAGATGGACGTAAACAAAACTGCCTTATCCAAATTCCCGGTTCATCTGAGAAACGAGAACTAGTAAAAAATGATATAGTAAAAAGCGGACTAATGAAGCTACGGATAAATCAACCGAAAAATTCTCCAGTAAAAAAACCAAGAAAGAGATTAAGGCAGAGGACTCTATCGTGTTAAAAAGACTTATCCGTGAGTTATCTTTCGATACCACTCGAATTTCTGAAATTAGGGAAAAGAAAGGACTCCATAG